GTTGGAGTAAGCTTGTATATTTAAAATGAACTTTCCTCTGCCCCCACCCACACATACGCAAGTCATCAACTTCCTTGAATCTTAGACCCACTTCTTTCCTCTCCATTGTTTATTATGAATAACAAATGAAACTAGAGAATTTAGCAATTTAGGGGCTTTTATGAAAGCAAATTCTTTGAAGAGAATAGGAGGGTCAGAGAAAATCTGAATTTTTAAGCAATGAATGGAACATGAAGAAAAAAATAACACGTATACAACACACTTTTAAGAAATTTCAACTTATGCACACTTTAATTTCACAATCTCCCCAGCAGGGAGAGACCTGGTAGAAAAAAAGGGAGAGGTACTAAACACTGACTGTATGCCAATGGTTGCTTAAAACATACTATATATTATTATCTCAATTATTTTTCAGATCACTTAGTAGATTCCAACAGCTCCATTTTTATGAACAAGAAAGATAAGAATTAGAGAGGTTAAGTAGATCAGGTGACGCCTTGTAAGTAGTAAGCAGTACAAAAGTCCAAATTCATCTTTTTAAACCCCGAACACATGCACTTAGCACTAAACCCTGGGTACAGAGTTCACTAAATTACAGAGTATTTTAGTATACTACAAGTATAATCAGCCAGATTTCCCAGCGAGAGACTCTGAGTTGCTATGCCAGCATTCTCATCAGTAGGTACTAGCCTTTTAAACTCCCCCCAAGTATTTCAAGGAAATACTTGACTTCAAAGAGAAGCTAATCCATTCAAGCTCCATTGCCTTATACATTTTTTTTGCCTTTTTTAAACTTTTCATTTTATATTGGAGTATAGCTGATGATTAAGAATGTTGTGATAGTTTTAGGTGCACAGCAGAGTGACTCAGCCATGCATATCTATTCTTTCCCAAAATTCTCCTCCCACCAAGCCTGCCACATCACATTGAGACCAGACTTCCCTGTGCTATATAGTAGGTCCTTGATGGTCATTCATTTTAAATTTGGCAGTGTGTACATGTTGACCTCAAACTCCCTTACACATATTTTTTAAGCAAAAGTTAATTGTCATGTTAAAATATAATTGTTTTATGACTCATATTTATAAATTACTTAAAACACACAAGTGCATGAACACACAAATTAAGACTTGGTCTCTGTCCTTATTATACTTAAAATTTTTATTAAATATCGGTCAATAACAGAGAATATGATAGTGGCTGAATCTCCATACAGACATTTAAAAGAGGAATCTTGGTTGTCTTTTTCTTATTAAAATTCATTAAACAATTATTTTTCTCCATCATCATTTAGCAGTTTAAAAAATTGCCATCAAAATAAGCTTTTAAATATAACTTCTAAAGACTCAATAATAACCCCTTAATATTACTTTTGCTAATAAAGCTCTGGTTCTTATTTGACTGATTAGAATCACTAATTCCAGATTCAGTTCAATTGCATCTTCCTAAATATATATGTTTTGCCTCCTCTTGTCTTTTTCTATTTTAAGTTGTCCTTGACAGAATTATTAGCCTACACCCATGAATACAGATGAAAAGTGTGCATGAACTAAAGTCACTTTCAGAAGTTTAGTGGATATAGCCACTGCCTGAATATCATTTATCCTTCATTTATCTGTGAAAGTTCCAGGTTAAGTGTTTTTGCAGTATTGAGAAACATTTCAAAGATACACATATACATACACGTTATTCATGACAAATTAAAATTACTAAATTAAAGAGGTTTTCAATAAATAATAGGTTAAATGATTACAATGCAATATACAATAATTATATGCTTGTGATCTCTGCAAGAGAGAACATTTTGCTAAAACACATGGTAGAAATATATTCTTAATAAAATGCAAATAATGGAGGCTCACACTCAAATGTCTATACCATCTAAGGAATACTGGTAAGGTGCTCAAAATGTCAGATAATGTAAAATGACATAGTTTTTACTGAATAAATGTCAAACAAGAGAATATATCAGACATGAGACTAGGTAATTATATAGGTGATTGAGTGTGTATATGCTAAGTTGCTTCAGTCATGTCCAACTCTTTGTGACCCTATAGACCATAGCCCACCAGGCTCCTCTGTACATGAGATTCTCCAGGCAAGAATACTAGAGTGGGTTGCCATTCCCTTCTCCAGCAGATCTTCCCAGCCCAGGGATCAAACCCGCATCTCTTATATCTCCTGTTCTTCACCTTAGCACCACCTGGGAAGCCCATATAGGTGATTACCTCTTTTTATTTTAAGAACTTAAGAAATAGTTTCTCTTTGCTTAACAGATGAGGAAATTGGGTCTCAGAGAAGATATACAACACATAGGTAGTAAGAAGAATGTCTGAAATTAGTACCTACTTCACTAGAACATGGTACCTACCCATGCTTTCCCATTTAGCCTAGGGATACATTTTTGCTTCTGTTTAAATAAGAATAGAACTGAAATTCTTTGGAATTCACAAATTGGACCCCAAATAATGGAACCCAATTGTCAGACATAAAAGTGCCATCCAGTATCTACTTCATCTCCTGTACACTGGGATAGAATGAGTAGCTATCAAGCAATAAAAATGTGGCTAATCCAAATTGAGATGGGTTGCAGTTGTAAAATATACACTGGATTTTAAAGGCTAAGTCTGAAAATAAGAATATAAAATACTTCATTATTATCTTACATAGTTTTTGTGTTAAATGATAATACTTGGGGCATATTGAGTTAATTCAGCATTTCCCTTGCAGTTCAGTCAGTAAAGAATCTGCCTGCAATGCAGGAGATTCAGGTTCGATTCCTATGTCAAGAAGATCCCCTGGAGAAGGAAATGGCAAAATATATTCTAAAAATTAACTTTGCTTTTTCTAAACATAACTTCTAGCATATATAAATTACATAAGTAGCTTACATTAGTGGCTTGCATTATACTTCTGTTAAAAGTTCATGATATTGCTGAATTCTCTTGCACCAACGTTGATGAAGACTAATAAAAAGCAGTTTGGCTTTTTAAAAATTTGTCCAGGACACTCCCTGAAATATGTTTAAACACATATATACACAACAGTATCTATATACTCTCTACTGGAACTTTATTATATCTAACCTAATATTAGGTGGTTTTTGAAATGGTTTTCCTATTCTCCCCTACAACAATGAGATATTCTTAAGAGCAGAATCTCAATTTCTATTTATCAAAACTTTTAATAGAATATCTCCAATAGCATCAGGATATACAAAGAACTAGTGATATTAACATGCACCCTTAATTTTACAATTAATATATAATCTATACCACTTTGTACATACTTTAAAATTTTCCTTTTGGAAGCCTTTTTATTTTTGTTTAAGAAACTTCATTCCAGACTTCACAGGTTTAAGAATTTAAAATTCCCAATGAGATTGGTTTGTTCCTCTGACAGCCCACTTAGTAGTTGTTCATTGAAGTTTAAAGTGGTTCTATATAAAAGTTTTGCTGTCTTGTTACTTGGATGCTATGAGATTACTTTTTATTATGATCAAAAATTTACTATTTAAAAGGTCAGATCTGGACAAGAGCTAGTACAGCTGTCATCAGATCGCCTACAGAGAAAGAAGGTGAAGCTTTTCTCAAGAAGTAGATTATTCTGAGGTATCTGAAATGCTTTTACATTTAATTCTTGTTAGTATCTGGGCTTCCCTGATGGCTCAGCTGGTAAAGAATCCTCTTGCAATAATGGGAGACCTGCATTCCATCCCTGGTTTGGGAAGATCTCCTAGAGAAGGGAAAGGCTACCCACTCCAGTATTCTGGCCTGGAGAATTCCATGGACTGTATAGTCCATGGGGTTGCATACTCAGACACAACTGAGCGACTTTCATTTTCACTTGTTAGTATATATATCCCTCAACACAATTTTGAAATGTTTGTTTTCCTCTGTACCATTCCATATAGTGCTGGAAACTTCAAGCAAACATCCTGACTTAATTATGTGTCAGTGGGGAAACATTTATCTAGAAATATACTCTTAACCAAATTAAAACACTCCCTTTGAAACGAATGAGGAAGTCAAGGCAGAAATGGCACTGTTCCCCATTCCACCCACCATAAGTCAGCACAAATAAATTAGTTCATTCTTCTCAAAGCACTTTTGTTTCTTACTTACAATATGTAATTTATATACAAAATGAATGGCATTTTTATTTTCTTCTCCAAACTCATGGTTTAAATATTAATATATATCATGTTATCAATTGATAAAATTTGTTCTTTTGTTTTCTTAACACTATATACTGTATTTATTTTCATTTCATACCCCTGGTATATTATAGGGATTAATGCTACTTACTATTTCCACATCTTATAACACTGTCAATCTATGTATTATATTGGACATCTATCAAGTCAACATTTTAATCTAATTATTAAGAAAAATTACCCAAATATTTTTAGGTGAATGGATGGACATAGTCAATCATCTAATAAATCCAACCATTCAAATGAATAAGTGAGTGTTAGTCAGTCAGTCATGTCTGACTCTTTGTGACTCAGTGGACTATATAACCCACCAGGCTCCTCTGTCCATGGAATTCTCCAGCAAGAATACTGGAGTGGGTTGCCATTCCCTTCAAATGAATAAAGTATTTGTCTGAAGAGAATAAAGAATATAACATAACCACACTAACATCTAATTAAAATGGAATAAATCTGTTCTTGACATTCTTACATTTTATTAAGAGTGAATGATATTTATTTAGGACCAAAATCTGAATCAAACTGAAAACAAAGGAGCCTTATTTTATTGATCTAAGAAGATACTGACTAAACTAAGGACTCAGGAATTGGTAAATACACCAAAGCTTGGAGAAAAACTTGGAAGACAAGTTCATGAGTAAAGGCTTGAAAGATACCATTTTAGATTCAAAAAGATTTTTCCTTATGAAAAGAATAATTTACTAGGTGTTTAGGTCACTTCTTTTCCGTTTCCTTCCTTCCCATCTACCACTCTGTAAAAGCACGAACTAAATAAATCAAAACATACCTGTTGGAAGAGGCATTGCGAGTTCTTCTTTCATGGAGTGATGGGAAGGTAGACAGTTCTTTGTAAGCACAATGTCGTCCAGTGCAATATCACCACGGTGGCCCTTCCCAACTCGGCCTTCAAATTTGAGTTGGAAGTCCTCATCACCAGATAGGGCTAGTTCTTTCCGCTGCCAGAAATTTCCTTGTTCTACAGTGAGGTTAAGCAGGACCTTCGTTTGGTTTGAGACTGATACCTGGATCAAGGTGAGCGCACCAATGCCATGTCCATACATGTGATAATGAAAAATTATCTGCAAGCAAGAACAGAAATGTTATAAATAATTAGTACAATTAATTTTATCGTATTTTCAATTACATCATGTTGTCCTCTCTTTTCTTAACAGATTCGGGGAGGAAAAATGGACCTGTATGTTCTATTGCTTAGTGAATGCTCTATCAATGAATGAAGCTAGTCCAGCCTTAAATCATATGCTGCAAAACATGGAATGTAGTACAGTGAGGACCAAGCAAGAATTTAGTTGAAAAAATGAGCAGTGTTTACTTTCTTTTTTTGACTTATAAAAGTAGGATTCCTCCACAAACTCTTAAAATCTATTCTTGAAGGGATAAAGATATCATTAAAAAGTGCTATATTATATAGAAAGATTTTTCATGATTAAGAAACATCAGGTACTAAAGAAAATCATTTCCCATCTCATGAAACTTAAATCATTTTCTTCAAAACAGCAGGGTACTTGATTGCTTATTCCACCACATTCTTATACTTGAAACACATTTTCAGTTCTACAAGGTCCTCAGGGCTCTACTGTACATAGCAAAACCACCAGAATAGCAATTTCTAAATTTTACTTGAAATATTTTAGAAGAGTAGATGAGTTTTATCCCCAAGTAAAAATTAATATGAGTATTTCCAGGGATTAACATCTCAATGTTTCAAATATGGAGTTACCAGATTTTTGGTGACTAAAACGCTGATGGAGAAAATTAGGGGAAATTCTAAAAAAAAAGGAGTATGAGTTAGGAATAGCAGGGACTCAGTGGTTTTAAGCTTTTGGCTTGTCATTTTTAGGAGTGAGGGAAAACTAACGGTGCGTGATCTTCATGCAGGAAAATAACATTTTAGAAACACTGGTACTCATGGATATTATATTCTAGAAAAGGGAAATGAATGTGCTTAAAGAGTAAAGATTAATTAATTGATTAATTATGATTAAACAATATACATAATGCATACTTTCAAACAGCATCAAGAGGTAAGCTCTGTGAAGTCAATCTATGCAAATTTCCTAGCTGATGAATAATACCCAAACTTCAGCTATTACTCTATGATCCAAAAATGTTATTCTATTGATTAACCCATTAATGTAGGAAAACATGAACTCTGTGACCACCGTGGCCTGTTCTGGGAGGACTGGTCAAACCTGAGTGGCACACAGTGGGAAACAAAAGGTGTCTGATGGGGATTGATATGTTTACACCACTGATGCTCTGTATAAACAGATAACTAATGAGAACCTACCGCCCAGCACATGGAACTCTACCCAGTGCTCTGTAGTGACCTAAATAGGAAGAAAATTTAAAAAAGGAGGGGATGTACATGTATGTAGAGCTGATTCCAGGGGGCTCCCCTGGTGGCTCAGTGGTAAACAATCCACCTGCCAATTCAGGAGACATGGGTTCCATCCCTGGGTTGTGAAGATCCTCTGGAGAAGGAAATGGCAATCCACTCCAATATGTTTGCCTGAGAAATCTCATGGACAGGAGCCATGGGGCTGCAAAAGAGTCTGACGTGACTTTGCAACTAAATACCAACAACAGAGCTGATTCACTTCACGTACAGCAGAAAGCTAATGCAACATTGCAAAGCAACTATATTCCATTAAAAATTAATTTTAAAAAAGGGTCTGAGGCCAGTCTGTTGAGCAGTGTCAAAAGGCAAGAAAGGAAACTATCCAACAGGCAATAGCACAGGTCTGTCTGAAGCCCCTGCAGTCACACACATGGTCTTCCCAGTATTCTGCCTTGTTTTGTTTTATCTGCACAGAAAGCATAAGGCATATGTTTTATGTCACAGAAATACTTCTGTACCTTCTTGAGGCCATTTTCTGAATGATACCATTGGGTTAACATGCAAACAAACATCTAAACACAAACACTCCATTTCTACAGAGAATACTTGATGACAATGTAACCTAATCACAGGGCAACATGAGCAAATAGATTTTTATCAAGCACAGATTTTTGTCAAGTACTGAATTCTTTTAAGGAGGCATCTTCACCAGAAATTTCAGTTACTCAGAGGTTTGCTCTCTATACTCATCAGTCTACGTCTGCATACTTCTCTGTATTCCACCCATCCCTCAGAAGGGAGAAAAATCTCCAATTTGGTTTTTTTCTGCCTGAAGGTATTCCACAAGGTCAAGTGACAGAAAGGATTTTCATGAAAATTTGGGAGGTCACTTCTGCTCACCTGATAAACAAATTTTTTATATCTAAGAGTCCCAATCATTTCCAGCATGACTTTTCTTTACTTCTTTGTATACAGTCTATATCATAAATATTCATAAAATGAACCATTCATCATTAATTTTTTGACATTTCTCCTAGGCATACTTCATTATTCTTGCACAGATGTTTAAAACAGTGGGAACTATAGTTCTGGGACCAGGCAAAAATAGAGATAAATGAAACTCTTAGTTACTACAGGATGAAAAGAAAAAATCTATTGAACATTCTTAGAGGAAGTCTAAATAGAAAAGCTAAGAAATCTTCTTTCTGTTGTCTTCCAAATTACTTGATACTTTCTTGAAAATAAAACCCCAGAACACTGGATTTTATATATGTTGTGTCTATATCTATAAATCTGTATATTCATAGACATTCTGAAATGAGAAAATCAGTTCTAGTCTTGGAAAGTTAATTAAAAATTAAACATGAAGTATATAAAATTTCAGTTCGACTTCTTGTCTTTTCTAAAACAAAATTTTTACCAAACTAATTAAAGTTTAATTGTGTATTTTTTCATTACATCCATTCTGGACTGCCGAGTTATGTCTCTCAAACTTTGACCATGTCACTTTCTTGCAGAAAATCTATCAAATGTGCCTAAAGAGAGAAGAGAGATATTACTCTGAGTGTTAAACTATGAAATCAACTTAAACTGAGCAAGAAAAGCTCCTAAGACAAACTAAAGGTTTAACATGACTGGGCTGGGACAGTGGTAGGATGTGAAGGCTGGTCAGTATAAAACAGAGGAATAAACACCTGTAGTAAATACAGGTTCAGCTGGAGAGCCCATGAGCAAAGATTTAACAAGCCTCCTTCTGGAGTTAAGGCTCTCTGTGTTGTGGAAACAGATATACAAGAATATGACAATATGAAGATAATAAAGATTTAAATCATGCCTCCCAGTTTGATTCTGTGATCAGCTAGCAACTTTCTGGATATAATTTGTTTTCTTTCCAGTGTTCAGACATTGAGGAATACACCAGTCTGAATACATGTGTTCACAGCTTATGGAGACTGTATTTTTTGTCATAAAGGGCACATTTATGCACACATTAACCTCTTATAAAAAGATGCCATGAAGTAATTTCTGAGTGCTTAATTTATATGTAAAGCTAAATTTAGCTTCCAGCCTAGCTGGCTCAAATCCCTCGGGGAATAAAAAACAGACAATCACACAAATAATAAAGGAAAGTAAAGGACCTTGCAAATGCATAGTCATCATATGAAGATCCAAACAACTCTACTTATATTTTTAACAGTCTATAAACATTTTCTTCAAATTTCCACAGGACAATGGCCAAACCATTTTTTCCTAATCTAGAAATTCTACCTTTTAAAGGATCAACTTCAGTCTTTAATTTTCTGTGAAGATGTCCAACCATTTTATCATTGTGTCAACTATGACTAATATTAGTTCTTGGAAATATTTAACTATACGCTATTTCTTGCTGTTTAATTCTCTTCCTTATGGTGAAATTCCCATAAATCCAATGAGTGCCAAGTTCCCTAAGTGGACACAACTGATATTTTACTTTGTTCTAGATGGCTCAGACAGTAAAGAATCTGCCTGCAATGCAGAGACACATGTTCAATCCCTGGGTTGGGAAGATCACCTGGAGAAGTAAACGGCAACCCAATCCAGTATTCTTGCCTGGAGAATTCCATGGACAGAGGAGCCTGGTGGGTTATAGTCCATGGGGTTGCAAAGAGTAGGACACGACTGAGTGACTAACACTTTCTTTCACTTTCACCCACAGTTATGGATAATAACCATGACATTTACCCAATGGATTCCAAGATTCCTTGTCTATGGAACTTATCCATAGGATAAATTTTTCCAACACTTCTAACAAACCTTCCCTTTCATCTTCACTTTCTGCCTCTCACAAAATTCCAAGTTGAGTCCATTCAAATTCACTTTTTGGTCTGGTTCTGTCCATTCTGTTTTCTGTTTTTGACTCTATCAGAGGTTGCTTATAATATTTCTGTTTTAATTTTTTCTCCATACCTTACAGTTTTTGCTTCTCCTGCTTATGACTGGACTTGAAATTCTGGCTGCCCTCATGGGCTGCTGAGGGAACAAGCTCTTTATAAAGATGTAATGGCCAGATGAATTTCCCAAGGTGTGATCAGCTGCTGGCTCTGTGCCTGTAGCAGGGACATTGCTCGCCTTCAGATTCCAGTCAAAGTCATCATCCTGCTCCTGCTCCCAGGAACAAAGATCAAACTCAAAATCACAGCGCCCACTGGAGGCACCTGGAAAACATTTTCCAATTTATGGTGAAGAGAAAAAGGAAATTAGCAGATAAAGCATGCAATCCAAAATCACATTTTATAAAGCACTCTCATGTCTAGGGACCTTTGAACTTGCTCCTCTCTCTGCTAAGATTCTTTTTTTTTTTTCATTTATTTTTATTAGTTGGAGGCTAATTACTTCACAATATTGCAGTGGGTTTTGTCATACATTGACATGAATCAGCCATGGAGTTACATGTATTCCCCATCCTGATCCCCCCTCCCACCTCCCTTTCCACCTGATTCCTCTGGGTCTTCCCAGTGCACCAGGCCCGAGCACTTGCCTCATGCATCCAACCTGGGCTGGTGATCTGTTTCACTATAGATAATATACATGCTGTTCTCTCGAAACATCCCACCCTCGCCTTCTCCCACAGAGTCCAAAAGTCTGTTCTGTACATCTGTGTCTCTTTTTCTGTTTTGCATATAGGGTTATCATTACCATCTTTCTAAATTCCACATATATGTGTTAGTATGCTGTAATGTTCTTTATCTTTCTGGCTTACTTCACTCTGTATAATGGGCTCCAGTTTCATCCATGTCATTAGAACTGATTCAAATGAATTCTTTTTAATGGCTGAGTAATATTCCATGGTGTATATGTACCACAGCTTCCTTATCCATTCGTCTGCTGTCTGCCAGGATTCTTTCCCAAATGTCCATATGACCTGGCCACTCATTTCTATCAGATCTGTATTTGAATATCACCTTGTCAGTGGATCCTTATTTACTGGTGTATCTAAAATCTCCTATACTCAATTCTCTCCTGCTTTACTTCTTTATTTTTATTGTTGGCACTTTCCTAATATATTATATCTTTACCTATTTATTTTTTTGGTCTTCCCTCACTCATCACTCATGAAGGAGAAAATTTGCTCAGTTTTGTTCATTGTTATTTTCCCACTGCCTGGCAAAAAACTGTTTAATTTGCTGAATAAATAAATGAAATTTTAAAAAGCAAAAAATTATAGTAATCTTATGTAAGCTTTTATATAGAGAATGAATAAACAACAAGGTCCTATTGTATAGCATGAGGATTATATTCAATATTGTATGATAAACTATAATGGCAAAGAATACGAAAAATAATGTGTATATATATGTATAAACTGAATCACCTTGCTGCACAGCAGTAATTAACACAACACTGTAAATCAACTATACTTCAATTAAAAAATACCAAAAAAATTACAGTAATCTTGCCACATCATGCAATATTCAAAACCTAACAATATTATCCTGACAGAAACATTAAAATAGAATATTTTAGTTTGTTCCAAATAGATATGTAACAAACTAATGACGTATATAAGTTTATTTCTTCACCAATCTGATCCCAGGGTCAAAATCCATGGGAAAATGTTAGTATTATACACATTTTCTCCTCCAAACCCCTATTTGATCAAAGTAACTTATTTCTTCTCTCTTCTCCTCTTTGCTTCTCAGCTCTTGGTAGGGAATTTAGGAAGTTCATTAATTTTCAACACAGTTTGGCATGGGAAATACTGCCTGAAGCAAAAATTACTCATCATCATAATTATTTTTTTAATGTCTACTCATCTTAGAGATCATAAAATTGTGAAGTGAAAAAAATAAGGTTAACACTGCAATGATTTATTATAATAAGTCACAGAAACTAAATCTGTTATTTAATACCAACTATCCCTCAGGTATTCTAAAAATATTTATTATGAACATTGCTTAAGTTTTTCTTTCATTTCCAGAACAGTAACAATTATTGAGCTTAACTATGTCCTTGTTGGTTTTCCGCCAAATCTATGCATCTCTGACAGTTGTTGCTCTTCAGTCACTCTCACGTCCAACTCTCCATGACCCCATGGGCTGCAGCACTCCAGGCTTCATTTCTTTTTTTCTTCTCTTTTAAAATACAGGCTATCCTTTTTTTTCTTCTTCTTCTTTTTTTTTTGCTTTTTTCTGGTTGCCCTAGAGTCTACATCATACATTTGCAACTAATCCAAGACAACTTTTAAATAACACTATACCATTTCAAGGGTGATGTGAATAGCTTATAATAACAAAATAACCCTAATTCCTCATTTTCATTCCTTGTATTACTGCTGTCATTAATTTCACAAAGATAAGCACACGTATTGGAAAAGAAAATGGCAACCCACTCCAGTATTCTTTCCTGGGAAATCCCATGGACAGAGGATTCTGGTGGGCTACAGTCCATGGCGTCACAAAGAATCAGACACAACTTAGCGATTAAACAACAAAGTATATGTATATATACACACATACATATATATAGATATACACAAGAAATACATAAGCATATGTAATACATTGTTGCTTTTTATTATTTTGAACAAACTATCTGCTATAAAAAGAAAAAAATGTTTTCTATTTTACCTTCACTTATTGCTCCTCTGATACTCCTTTCTTTATATAGCTCTGAATTTCAGATCATTTTTTTCTCTCAAAAAGTCATTGTAACATTTCTTACAAGGCAAGTCTACTAGCAACAGATGCTCTTATTGTTTGTCTGAGAAAGTCATAGCTTCCTCATTTAAAGGATAAATTCACAGGTACAGAATTCTACATCAGTTTTTTTTTTCCTTACAACACTTTAAATGTCATTCCAGTTTCTTCTATCTTGCATTGTTTCTGCAGAGAAGTTGGATTTTTACCTTTATTTGTGTACAAGTAAGGTATTTTTCCCTCTGACTTCCTTCAGAAATTTTACTTTACCTTTGACTTTCCGTAGTGTTAAAAGTTAAGCCCACGTGTAGAGTTTTTGGACATTTATCCAGAATCATATTTCCTGAGCTTCCTGTGATTTTTATGTACCATGCTGCTGCTGCTGCTAAGTCACTGCAGTCGTGTCCGACTCTGTGCGACCCCATAGACGGCATAGGTATGGCAAACTTCTCAGTCATTATTGCTTCAAACATTTCTTCTGTTCCTTTCTTTCTTTTCCTTTAGTTAGTCCCATCAGTCACATCTTTGATAGTTGTCCCAGAGTCCCCCAACATTCTGTTCTGTTTTTCTCAGTCTTCATTCACTTTGCTTTTCAGTTTGGGAGACTTCTATTAATATACCCTCTAGCTCAGATCTCTCCCCTCAGCCACATTCAGGCTACTATTCAGTCAATCAAGACATCATTTCTGTTACAGTGTTTTTGATCACCATCATTTCTTTTTGGTTCTTTTTAGGACTTACATCTGTTCTTCTTGCATGCTGTTTTACCTACTAGAGGCCTTAGAATATAAATCATAATTGTTTTAAATTCTTAGTCTGATAATTCCAACATCCCTTCCATGTCTAGTTGTGATGCTTGTTCTGTTTCTTCAGATTGTATTTTTGCCTTTTAGTATGCCTTAGTAATTTTTTCTTGATAGCCAGACATGATGCACCAGGTAAAAGGAACTGCTATAAGTAGGCCCTGAGATTCCCTGGTGGCTGAGATGGTAAAGCATCTGCCTGCAATGCAGGAGACCTGGGTTCGATCCCTCTGTCGGGAAGATTCCCCTGGAGAAGGAAATGGCAACCCACTCCTGTGTTCTTACCTGGAAAATCCCACAGGCAGAGTAGCCTGTCAGGCTACAGTCCATGGGGCTGCAAAGAGTCAGATATGACAGAGTGACTTCACTTTCACAGAAGCAGGCCGTTAGTAATGTGGTGGTGAGTATGGGGGAGGGAGAATGTTCCATGGTCCTATACTTGGGTAACTTTTAGTGTTCTCAGGATTTCCTTCCCCCTCACTCCTTAGGCGGAACAGGATTCCTAGAGGAAGCTAGCATTATTGCCCCTCCCCCATCAGTTAAGCTCTGATAATACCCCAGCAATACAGGCTCTGGTTAACTAATAATAGCTTCCCCCAATGACAGGACTTGTTAAGAAGAATCAAGTGCTTTGGTGAATTTCAAAATGGTTCCTTTATCCCTCCTCCTGCTGGAAGAAGGAAGGGATTCTTTTTTCTCCAATATGTAATGTGGGAACCTGGTTGAACTTCTGGAGATAAATCTCACAGTACTGGGCAGGGGGGTGGGGTGGGGTGGGGCCTTATGGCTGTGTTCCCCTATAGTTTTTAACACTCAGGCTTGGCCACATTGAGCCTCCAGCAACTCATCAATATCACTCAGGTTTTCCTACCCTAGCAACTGATTTCTGAAGTGTCTACTGCTTGCGAGTCTCTGCTCTGATAAATTCTGACTCTCTGTACAGACTGTCGATCTTTCCAATCTTGAGGACAGCTTTTGTGCTATGTCCTCCCCTCTCTTATGGATGAAAGTGAAGTGAAGTGACATTGTCACCCTGCTTATTTAACTTATATGCAGAGTACATAACGAGAAATGCTGGGCTGGAGGAAGCACAAGCTGGAATAAAGATTGCTGGGAGAAACATCAATAACCTCAGATATGCAGATGACACCACCCTTATGGCAGAAAGCAAAGAACTTAAGAGCCTCTTGATGAAAGTGAGAGTGAAAGAACTGGCTTAAAACTCAACATTCAGAAAAGTAAGATCATGGCACCTGGCCCAGTCACTTCATGGAAAATAGATGGGGAAACAGTGGAAACAGTGAGAGACTTTATTTCCTTGGGCTCAAAATCACTGCAGATGGTGATTGCAGCCATGAAATTAAAAGACGTGTGCTCCTTAGAAGAAAAGTTATGACCAACCTAGACAGCATATTAAAAAGCAGAAACATTACTTTGCCAACAAAGGTCCGTATAGTCAAAGCTATGGTTTTTCCAGTAGTTATGTATGGATGTGAGAGTTGGACTATAAAGAAAGCTGAATGCTGAAGAATTGATGCTTTTGAACTGTGGTGTTGGAGATTCTTGAGAGTCCCTTGGACTGCAAGGAGATCCAACCAGACCATCCCAAAGGAAATCAGTCCTGAATATTCATTGGAAGGACTGATCTGAAGCTGAAACTCCAATACTTTGGCCATCTGATGTGAAGAACTGACTCATTTGAAAAGACCCTGATGC